ACGCTATAGACCTACAGATCGAACCCCTGCTGCCTATGGACCTACGACAGGCCTACCAACTGCCTACGAATGCACAGGTCACAGGTTCAATTCTCAGGGTCTACACAGATACTGTACATGGGTAGGGTGAGGTCTAGGGATCGACCCCTGGGTACTGCATCCGCTACTGCTAAAAGGTGAAAACCGTTTCACTCCCGCCGTCCTAAATTCGAGGTCCTCCGAGAAAATTTCAGTCCAAGGCGGGACCTTTACCTTTCTTGTCACGCTCATAGGCTCTGACTATGTCGGGAGCAGTCTCTAGAAGTTCTGCTTTCGTGAACCAGCGGTCGTCTTCCGGTTCCTTTACCTTTCTTGTCACGCTCATAGGCTCTGACTATGTCGGGAGCAGTCTCTAGAAGTTCTGCTTTCGTGAACCAGCGGTCGTCTTCTGGTTCCTGATAGGCAAACCGGACTTTATAATGTTTCTGGGGACGACCTCTACCTCCTGTCCTAAGCACATCCTCTTCTACAATGCCCTCTATGTCATAGCTTCCATCCATATCCGGTGGGATCATGGATCTCCTGGAAGGGAACTGTTGACTTGTGACACACGGCAGCAGCTTTGAAGCATGAAACACAGGGTATGTGTGGAGGTGTGCTGGAATCTCAATGCTGTAGGACGGTCCATCCTCTCCGCCCTTGACTTCTAGAACCGGCCACGGTCCTCTATATGCAGGCAGTAACTTCTGCGAGATGTTTTCTTCCGGTGCAAACTCTTTTGCTTTGACCCAGACTAAGTCGCCTACTTGAAACTGTGATGGGCGACGGTGCTTGTTAGCCTGCTCTATCATTCTGTGCTGGGCCTTCCGAAGGTTCTCAACAACAGTGGCTAGCTCTTTTTCGTGCTGTATCGCAAACTCCCTGGTACCGGGCGGTAATCTGTGAATCTGATCCCGGCTCAGTCCTTCGAACGGTCTGCGCGGTCTAAAGGACTTGTGCAACTCATTGGGAGTGCGGCAGGTGGATAGATGCACGCTGTTGTTGTATGCATTAGCTACCTTAGGCAACATCTCATCCCAGTTAATCTGATCTGGTCTAATGTACATGCGCAGAACTTGCTGTAGGATCTTGTTCATCTGTTCTGTCTGACCGTTAGTCTCTGGGTGACGGCCGGACGACATTAACAACTTAGATCCGTAGACTCTCATGAGTTCTTGCCAGTTCTGGCTGGTGAAACGACAATGGGATTCCATTCTCACTAACCCAAAAGTAAAAAAACTTCTGTATAACTAGGTCTGTACGTGCCTCTGCAGGCAAAGGAACGAAAACTGCATATTTGCTAAAGCGGTCAACTACGACCGTGACTTGGCTCTTACCATGTCTACTTTGACTTGGGTGTCCATGAAGTCTGTGGACACGAAGTCTCCCGGCTGATCTGGAATAGGCAAGGGTCTGAGAAGACCTAGGGGCGCGCGTGTAGTAGACTTATTTCTCTAGCACACTTTACAACTGCGGACATACTCTATGCAGTCATTCTTCATCCCTGGCCAGGTATACACACGCATCAGGTTGGCTAATGTCTTTTGCCAGCCGAAATGCCCTTTAGTATTGTGGCATTCCCCTAAAATCAAACTGCGGATCTCTTCGCTGTTGGGAACGCACAGGCGGTCAAACACATTAGTCTTCTCAAACAGCAACCCGTCTGTAGTGCGGTAGTCTGGTTCAGTCTCTGGGGCATCTCTAACTCTCTTTAGGAGGTCGCTATAGATAGGGTCCTGCGCATATGCTTGCCTCACTTTCTCCTGCAGGTCTCTCCCTATATCCAGATAGTGTACTACAGCTCCAAAGTAGTCTGATCTCCTACTCAGAGCATCCGCAACTACGTTGTACTTGCCCTTCACTGGCTTGAGCTCAAAGTGGAATTGGTCCATCTCTGCGGCCCACCTAGTCAACTTAGGTGTCATCTTGGCCCGAGTCTTTAACCATCTAAGCGTTTCGTGGTCCGAATACACTTTGAAGTGCCTCCCAAGCAGGTAGTGCTTCCAATGATCTAAAGCCTTCCTGAGAGCGTAGAGTTCTCTTTCGTACGTGGAGGCGGCAACCTTCTCACAGGGCATCCTCGCTGACATGAACTCTACGGGTCTATAGCCATTGCCGTCGTCTTGCTGCAACACGGCGCCTATCCCATACCGACTCGCGTCCGTGGTGACGACAAATGGCAAAGACGGATCTGCAACTTTGAGGACAGGATACTCTATTAACGCGCGCTTTAGCTTCTTGAGCGCAAACGTACAGTCTTTGTCCCATTGCCAGATTGCCTCTTTCTTCAGCAATCGGCGCAAGGGAGCGGCGATAGTAGAGAAGTTCCTTACGAACTTCCTATAGTAGTTAGCTAAGCCTAGGAACGACCGCAACTCTGTCAATGTGCGGGGCGTCGGCCAATCTCTGATCGGCACGATCTTGCTGTCCTCTGGCTTAATGCCATCTCCGTCCAACACGTGGCCCAAGTATAAGACTTGCCTCTTGGCCCACTCGCACTTCTTCGCGTTGATCTTGAAGTTAGCCTCTCTAAGCTTCTCCAAGACCTGCCTCAGATGACCCTGGTGCTCCTGGAGGGTCTTACTAAAGACTAGGATATCATCTAAGTACRCTACTAYAAATTTATCTAACYATGGTCTAAACAGGTCATTCATACAACGCTGAAAAGTAGCTGGCGCGTTGGTTAGTCCAAAGGGCATCACTATAAACTCRTAATGCCCATATCTARTCTGGAACGCAGTCTTGTACTGATCATCAGGATGAACCTCTATCTGATGGTATCCGGACTTTAAGTCTATCTTAGAGAAATACTTACAACCCTGCACCCGATCTAAAAGATAAGGTATCCTCGGCAGCGGCTCAGCATTCTTCACGGTGATCGCATTTAAACCCCTATAGTCTATACACATTCTCAGCTCTCCTTCCTTTTTGGGGACAAACAAAACGGGTGCTCCAAAAGGAGACGAACTGGGCCTGATCCAACCTTTCTCAAGGAGTTCGTCTAACTGCTTGCGAAGCTCCTCTAACTCTCTAGGGGACATCCTGTAGACTGCACCCTCAGGAGTTCTACTGCCAGGCTCTATCTCTATCCTGTGCTGGATGGGTCGCGACACTACTCCTCTCGGCGACTCAGTCAAGTCTTTGAATTCTTCCAACAGCTTGGCAATTGTTGGATCTGTGGAGCTATCCTTTTCCTGCAGGGTTGTCAAGCCCCGGCCCCGGGGCCCCGGCGGGGGTCCGGGGGTGGGCACCCCCAGGCCCGGCTCAAGACCCCCCCCCAAAAAAAAAAAATGAAAAAAATAAAAATAAAAATAGTGGGGGGTGCGCAGCGAGAGCGCGCACCACATGGGCTAAACCCCAAAAATGGGGTTTTATGCCCCACCCCGGACCCCGCCCGGGGCCACACCCACCACTCCTGGGACCGGGGTAGCTGCTGGTGCGGGGCCGGGGGCGGGGTTGAGTGTTGACGGGGGCGGGGTTGAGTGTTGGC